TTTTGATGCTGCTGTCCACGAGGCTAGAGAAAAGGCCCCACTGGTTATTCACGCTTCTTCCACTCACACGACGCTCCTGGCACGATTTCTTAGATGACTCGGCAGTAGGATCGATATTCTTCTCTTGCAGATTATTGTTGTAAAGCAGGAATGGATAAATCATAAATCATAATTTCAGTTAAAATACATGTATGCTAATAATAAATATTAATTATTACCAACCAACTTCATGTCCCGTCGTCCTTTTTTTTTCCCCTCCCACCGCTGATCCCCAGGTACTGTCCTGTCCGCCTCTTATAGTAGTAGTTCTACTCCGTACCTTCTTTTCGAGACCCAGCATGTCCAGTGGTCCTCGTGTTTGCCCTTTTGTCTGTGAGCCTGCCTGACCTGACGGGGCCCAGGGACCAGATAAAAGGCCTGTGCCGTCCAGACTTCCACGTTCCAGCTGTGTTCCCTCCTTTCTCCCGCCGTTTCATCACTTGAGGGGATGCGTCGCCTTTCGTTCGTCGTTCGATTGGAGGAAGTCGCTCATTTCATCTCCAGACTTGACATCTGCCGCGTGGGTTAAATTCTAACGAGTTAATAAAAATCGCCACTGCCCCTTTATAATCATCGTGTCCGTCGTGTTGTTTGTGAGGTCCTTCATTGTCGGAACACGTGTACGACGATCTGTTGGTGGTTGCTCCGGAAGTGAGGAAAATGTTTGACAAAAGGTTTGTTTTTCTCTGGGATAGGAACGGGGTTACATTTCATCCTCAAATCTAACCACCAGCAGGACGGCGCAGAAGCCTGGAGCAGAGCTGATCGGGGATTTTCGAAAGAAGTTTTCCCATGTCATCGCAGACCCCTTTCTCGCGCAACAGGCACCAGTCGAACACGGCGATGCGAAGCTCGCAAATCATCCCATACTTCCATCACAACAATATCACCCTCAGTTCAACCATCACGCGGCGAATCCGAACGTAGTTGACTATGTCGCTCCTTCGGTTCTGCAAGCCGGCCTTCTTACTCCCACTGCTAATCAGATGTGCGCCGTAGTCCATAGTCCTGCAGGGGACCTTCACACCCCAACTGTAGAATGGAATCTGGCCAGCACGCCTTGGATATGGGATCAGATGGTCAGCGTACAGTCAGATCTTCAGGACCAACAACAACAACAACAATTACCCCCACCACCACAACAGCAACTACATGGACACGCGGCGACGGCAGCCCGAGGCGTGACGGGCTTGCAGTCGCAATACCAGCATCATCTGTTTCAGAACATGGACCCGTTTGCATCAAACCACCTACTACCGAGCAACGTCTCGTTCGGGGCAAACTCAGACTACGATCCATTGGATACGGCAAGCCATCGAGATTCATTTACAGAATTGTTGGGGCATGTCGCGCAGCCTCTCCTGCCGGTGGCCTCGGACGCGGTCGACCGCGCCGACTTCCCCTCGAAGCCAGAGACTCCGTAAGTCCACTACCGATGCGACGACTGCATTCGGCCTACTGCTTGCTGACTCGCGCTGTTCTGACAATGTAGATTCCGCTATCGTGTCACTCTCCACGCTCCCACCGCTATCGCGGATCATGCGCATGAACCGCCAGTCACCTATCTCAACAAGTCCCAGGCATACTCGGTATCCATTGTCGACTCTACACCCCCAGCGCACGCCACACAACCCGTCAAGTATCGCACGAGTGTGAGAATCACCTTTGAGGAACCGGCACACCGATCGAATCCAGCGCGGTGCTGGCGACTCTGGAAGGAAGCGCGAGGGGCGGTCGAGGCGCAGCAACGAGGGGGGAAGATGCGAGCGTTGGAGTTTGTGGACCTGCGGATGGGATCGAAGAAGAACGCACCGCGTCTCAAAAAGGTGGACTGCGCCTCGTTCGACGGGTTCTGTGTAACCTGGACGAGCACTCCGGAAGCCGGTTCTTCCGAGTGCGTGGTCAACGTTCGCTTGAACTTTCTGTCGACGGATTTCAGTCTTTCCAAGGGCGTCAAAGGCGTTCCTACGAGATTGTGCGTCAAGACGGAGATGATTGGTCTCGAGGATGGCACTCCTACACCGGGACCTGGCACCGAAGCCGAGATTTGCTACTGCAAGGTCAAGGTGTTTCGCGACCACGGAGCGGAAAGAAAGTTGTCCAACGATGTGGCGCATGTGCAGAAAGCGATTCACAAGGTCGAACGGCAAATCGCGCAGGGAGATATCGACGGCAATAATGGTCTGGGAAAGCGGAAACGGCGAAAGGGCGTGGGACACGGGCTGACCAAGAACCATACCGTATCGATGAGCCTATCTCCCAGCCGTTCTAACAGTCTCACGGGCGTAGATGATCTGCACCGGGCCTTGTTCGAGCTGCGCAACCTCTTCTCGTCCTCACAGCCAGTTAGCCTGCTCTCACTGCAAGGCGATGTGCTGGATGATCCGGATCAATCACCAGTTTCTCTACCTCGGGACTCGTCCACGCCTGTGTCTCTTGGACGTGACAGCGCGTCCGAGAATGATGCAGGGGTCAACTTTCATGGCGACTTGGTCGAACTTCCACGTCGTCCTTTCGGCCGAGAAGCGAGTACCCTTGAGCCGAAGATCGAATCGCCCGATCCGGGCCTCAGCGATATAAATGGTCGATCTTCTCCAGAGTCGGATACTGGTGATCGGTCATCCAGCCCTCGGCATGGTAAGTTTGCGAGCACTGTTTGATTTGATATATAATCTGACTCCAGACAGTGGCATGTTTCTACGTTCGATTCCAGGACAAACAGCAGCAGGAACCCTACTACCGTGCCGTATACCTCACTGAGCGAACCGCATCCGACTTTCTTGATCAACTGTCCAAAAAATACAACGTCCAACCAGACCGTATCCTCAGTCTCGTCCATATCAATCCGAACAGTTTACGCGTCGCCGTCGACGATGACGTCGTGGGAGCAATCCCCGAAGGACAGGATATGATTGCCCAATTTACCGAGGTTCCTGCTCCGTTGAGCAGCGATGGACAGGACGACGGCGAGGGACATAGCACCGGGTACGAAGTTCAACTGCTTTTTTGACGCGATCTGCATACTCGACAGATTTTTGAGCACTAGGTTCTGGCTTTTTTGCACATTCAGGGATGTTTATATAAATTGCCCCGGACGGGATTTGCATGACTGGTGATGATGTACGTTTAGACCTGCATGAACATCTAGACTACGCCTACTGGATGGGTATGAAGCGATGACATGAAAAGAAAACCTAGCATATACAGTTTAATATCATACGAGATCTGCGAGCATATGCCACCCAAGCTGTAAGAAAATCTTGAAAGTACACCTGAACTTCATTGCAAGGAACAAAATTAGAGCCCGGAGTGCCGGACACGATACAACATCTCACCAACTCCAGCTCCTGCCGTACTATTACTGTTGAAAAATTGAAATCTAGCCAGCTATGGTTTTATCCGCGTGTTCTGCATTTTGAGAGTGTACAGACCAGTCCTGTAAGTCTAGGGGATGATAGTATGCTACAGATGGTCAACCATGTCGTTCCTTGGGTTCTTACATGAATGTTACTTGCACTAGCAAAGCCCTGCTCGCTGGAATAATAATGAAAAGATCGCTGACCGTAAAGGTGTTCAATCGCATCCTTATGCTCCAACGGTTCCTCGGATGGGTCGAGCCAGTCTTTCGTGTCAGTAAAGAATCCGAATTTCGAACAATGGCTCCAATGTACCACCAGTTGGACGACTAGTTATCCTCTCATTCATCCCCAGACAGAGTCGAGGAGTGGAGTAAGGTCGGTCTACCTTTCCTCAAGGGAGATTATCCTGTGCGGCTTTTATTCACAGTCATAGTCATGCACAGTGCATGAGACATGTCAGGATGAATTACTCGTAGAATACGGCGCCGCAGCTGCTGCATCGACGATGGCGCTCGTGATCCCGGAAGTACCATGCCCATCTCACAAACGTCTTCTGTTAGGACACTGAATTCTGGCAACTAGGAGGTACAGACCACATCTTATATGGAATATTTGGGACTCGCTTCCCTTAGCGTAACTATTTTGAACTTGATTTTCGTGGTTGAGCTCAGTGCTCATGCATAGATGGCGATGCTCGTTTTATCAGCTTCATTCCTCGAGAACGAATCTTTGCCAAGTAGTTGCACAGGATCCTGGGTAAGAAATTTGCCACGAAGGGTGAACGCTAAAGACTGTACGTCACAGAAAAGCAGATAAATTAGGTGCAGTCATTGATGCCAAACCGCTTAGCCACTCGTCGCCACTGGATACAACAACTTGTACTAATCGCGGCAACCTGGGAGGCATTGATGGATTACGTGAATCTGGCGAACAGTTGCTGAAGGAAGAACGAAATAGATATACAAATCGAAAGCTTGGCCTTTCATCTGCGAAAGAACTCGGGCAATGAGGCTACTGCCCTGCCGCTGTGATACGCTAGGTGAGTTGTCGATGCAAGCCCCGCTCTACCCCCGAATTATATGCTTCTCGGTGGTGGCGCAGACAAAATATCCTAGGTAGCTGGTCCATATAATCTGATATATATATGCCCAAGTCGCGAAGACCAGCTGGCCATGGTGCTGTTCGTTTCGATGCCAATCTTATGACTTCCGCCGGAATCCGCCCTTGGTCCACACTACTTGGCTCATAACAAGGTCAGGACTATTAAAAGAAATGAAACTGCATCCTGATGTTTCCATAACCTTTTGGCTCACTATTGCAATAGACCTGGACTGCGAACACAAGTCAATAGCGCTCTCTACAATGGCTGACCAATCTCCGTCCAGCAAGAGCACGGCAGAAGAGGCAGTTTACGGAGTCAAAGCAGATGTCAAGACTCTCCAGCAGCTAAGCTCATCGGGAAAAGCCGCACAAGACAAGAGACAAGAAAATCTTAAAAATAAGGCGATGGGAGCTTTGGGTTCAGCTATTAGGGAACATTTCCAAGGAGGCGGGCACCAGGAAAGTTCTGGGAAGAAATAGGCCTTGCAAAATAAGGCGGTCTCAGTCTGAGTTGTCTTCGAAAGCTTCTGAGTCGGCTTCGAAAGCCTGTCGGAGGTTCTTGTCATATTCTTCCCTGTCTGCAAGTTTGCGACCTGCAATGTATCCAACGTTCCTTTCGAAGAAAAACGGCATCACCACCTGGAACTCCTCCTCAGAGTCTTTGCAGAACAGAGGCTTGATATGCTTGCTAAATATCGTAAAAAGTCCTGAAGGACTTGAGAGAGCAAGTGAATACCAGAATGTTCCTGTTTCCCAAGACCGTTTCATGAAGTCCGAGAGACGTAGCTGGGGGACTCCATAATCACTGCGAGTCAAAGCCTGTTCTTCCGTCGTCAGGGCTTCCATGAATTCCTGTCGGATTGCATCATATTCTGCTGGATCCAATTGATCTACGCCCTTGTTTGTGAGCCAGTAAGGTGGTCCGACCATCTCCACTGGCTGAGAGCAGGTCCATTCCAAATCCACCAAGCATGTTATATGCCATTCTGCATCAACAAAGATATTACTTTGATGAAGATCTGTAAAGACAAAGACAAATGGGCCCCTGCAAAATCTCCGATCGAAAACTGATGGGAAAATTGTTCGCATGGCGGTTAGAACAGAAAGTTGGTAGGCACAATCTCCGAGATTGTTAACAGCATTAGGTTGATACCGAAAACGATTGTCATGGAACCCGAGTATATCAACCACATAGGAGCCAACGGTGGAGTAGGTGTAATTGCGAGGCATCTCAGTTGGTATCCTCTCATTCTCCAACTGCTGGATTTCCATTGAGAGTGGCCGATTTGTAAGACGCAAAAACCCGTCATTGTCAATGATGAATGAACCAATGTTGGGCACGGGAATCCGGATAATGTTTAAGAAAAGCCGGGAGAGGTCACGGAAGAGGGTTGCACGTAGCTTCGGGTCATGTCGCCCTTCCAACCATGTATTTGAAAGCATAGATCCGCGAGTCTCTTCGATAAACTCAATCAACAGGTAGCCATTGTGAACTATACGATCTTTGCTTTGATGGCGGGCATAGTTTGAAGGAACTGATTTCTTCAGCCACGATAGAAAATACTGACGCAGGAGCTGGAAACAGCGAGGAAAGAATGGCAGGAATTCAAGTCGAGTGAACTAGAAGTTGAACCTATAAGCCACAATCATCACATACATTGGCTTCAATCCATACCGTCTCGCCAGTGGACAAACCAAAACCATATAACTTCGGGATCGGCACATCCGGACAGTTCTTCTCAAGCCATGCATAGGATCCAGCTTCACATCGGATTTTCTCATCGCAATTTCCGGGTCTGAAACTCTCGCCGACGCGATATGGTAACGGGAACCGCATAAGAACAGGCTTACCCCAACTGTCTACCGTAATGGGGACGCAGACATTAAAGCTGCCATGAAGCCAATCTTCTGTATCTGCCACATGGCAGTCAGCAGACGATCTCAGGCCAAGATGGTGCGTAACCGCAGCTTTTATCCATTCGCGTTTATCATGGAGCTGAGCAAAGAATCTAGTTTGCTCAAAGTGGTATCCAAGCTGATGGAGAATATTCGATTCCTCAGTCTTGGCAGCTGAGTATGTGATCCTTCTTCGAAGAAGCTGCCTGGTTTTAGCCATTACGATGAATGTCAGGAAAGAAGTCCATGTCGATTCACGATTCAGGGGATGCGCCTACATGTCACAAGTCACGTGTTTCAGCACCTTGTTGACATAAGGCTGACCAATCAAAGTTCACTGTACTATATGCTGGTCAATATCATGACGGTGAGGATGGGATGGGCATTTCAATCTTTGCAGCTGACAGCACCTTAAAGGATGTGATCCCATCCGCCCTTGACTAATCCAAGTACTTGCAATTTGATGTAGATAGATATCTCATTGCAGCCATCTGTCTGTCAAGTACCCCGTCACAAAAGCATAGACTGCCTTGTGCAGTACATCAATGACCTGCTCATTGACTGGCCACGTCCTACACATCCGTCAGTAACCGTCCAACACGTAATGGCAATGTTCATGATACGGACCATGGAGGAGCGCCAACACCCGTCCAATTCTCCAGCGTTTGATCAATCGTCAAACGGACGCCAATGAACATAAAATCGGCAAACGGTCCCCGAATACCGTTGATGCTCATGAATGCTCGGATGACGGCCGCAACTGCACCCTGCCCGTAATGCATGGCCATGTTCAGTCCCCAGCGTTCGTTGTCCGGCCGGGCAGGCAAGGCCAGTAGTCGCTCTAGCGTGTGGGCGGGAACATATGAGTTGGGCCGTCCAGTAAAGAATTGTTCAATCTTCTCTCCGACGGTCATACTTTTCTCCAGTTAGATTGATTTCAGAATTCGGATGAGGTGACATACGCTGCTACGCCGAGCAGTCCTGCGCCGCAGCCATAAAGGACCCATGTTCCCACGGGGATCGGGGGCCGGACTGGTCGCTGAGGATCAGTTGTTCGACGCGACGACATGGTAAGTATATATTTTAGCTGAGATTTATTCTATTCGAGAAGAGATGTTCGAGTGGTGAGATATATTGTGGATGAGGAGTTAAGAGGCAATCCAAAGATACCTCGATGAGGTGCCTGAGTTATGTCATAATGGCGACACAACTTGGCAGCATCAACATGAGATCCGCTATTCAACCATCCTTCTACGATAAGATCTGAATCTTTATAAGGTTAGATATTCTAGAGTATAATGGTATGCAGTTTCATAAAAAAGCTTGATCAAACCATTTTTAGAAATATTGGTGCATCACATTATCATTATAGTTGGATTTGAATCAGTGCTTCATTAGATAATATTCCCCATTCACCTCAATGACTTCATGTTAAGTATAGTGAAGGTAATAGCCCTATATCATGACTAAAGCATGTCGCTATTGGGACTTCCCGTAAACAAATAGATCCCATTCACTAGATAGGGCTGCCTATCGAATCTATACATTCACTTTTGCTATATGAAAGATGTATATAATCTTCAAATACTCCCTCCTTTCCTTTGAACTCTTCCACCAGCTACAGTGTCCTACTGCTAGACAAAAAGGGTGTCATCAAACCAACGTACTACATATACCTTGCATTACAAAGTCCCTTCCATTTATCCAATTGACAAGATGGATCAGATCCTTTTGGCTATCATGCTCCTAATACTGCTTGTCATTGCAGCAATTGCTCGTCTCAGATTGCTGGTCAGCAAGGGGTAGTACGTCAATACATCTGTCCTTCGAAGACCCTCGTATAATACTAAGATTGACATCTTATCTATAGGAATGACTCAAATGTCCTAGCTGCGTTCTCAGCTCCTCCTGATTCTGGGGCTTTCTGGCCAGGAGTCTGAAGCCTGCGACGGCGGTACAAATGCCCTTGCTCAAAACACGAAATATGCCCTAGTTGTCGTTAAATCAATGGAGCCGAAGTACGATCAATTACCGACCATTTCCTCGAACATTTCAGCTGCCCTGCTGTGGTACCTCGGTGACGAAATAACAACTTCTCACCTATTGCTTGGTTGAAGACGACAGCCGCACAGAAGGGTTTAGTTAAGACTTAATTCTCCTGAATTTGGATGTTTTGCGGTTAGTGTGTTTCATGGAAGAGGTACGTCCATAAATAAATGGGCTATTCCCGCGTTGTACACATTCCTGCTCGGAATTATACTGATATATCGTGGTACAGCTGTAGACTGGTTCGAATGGCAGACGGAGGCCCAACAAGATGGATCAGAGAGTAATGACTTCGGGAGCTGATCACAAAGACAAATGGCTACACAAGGAACCGTCATCAGTCTGCATTTGATACAACTCCTCCATCGTTCTACCTTACATATCACAAGCCAGAATTCTCCTCATTTCCGTCAAAATGGCCAGCTACATCGAATTCGGCGGAATCCATGTGGATTTCAACGCCAATATTATCATGCATGCTATATTCAGCTGTGCTCTGGTGATGATTATTTCAAGCTCGCCAGTCCTTGTCAAGATCATCCGCAATAGATGTGGGTTAGTTTCTAATACTGAATACCTTGACTGCACCTAAGAACAAGGAGAGTCACTAACTCATGCTGATTTTAGCAGAAATCCAGCCTCCCGCCCCCGTGTGTGTCCCGTCGTCCAATACAAAAGTGCAATGGTTGGACAATTTGAGCGCCGTGGTGAGGGCACTGAGGCCCCCTATCAGTGATCTCTTCCGATTGCGCGTGGTAGAGGGTCAATAGTCCTCTCCCATTTTGAGCCAGGGAAACGGTATTTGGACTGTCATCCTTCCACGTATTATGCGCTTCCCCCTTTCTTTCAATATCAGCAACTCTCTGTTCCCAAAAGCAATGACTATTTGGACCCCACGAACCCAGTCGCTGACTGCAACAACTGCAATATGCTATGTCCGCTACGATCTTATATAGCGCATCATCCCATACGCCTCGAGATCGATACCAAGATGACAAGCATCCAAATGCCCCCCTTCAAAGGGGATATAGCAATAGGTGGGAGCAACTTCATGATCGGTTTCTTCGTTTGTTTCGCTCTGTACATTCCCTTCCACTCACCAATCCCGGACCTGTTTTAATCGCTCTTTTTTGCCTCATGGTGATCGCCGTGGCGCAATCACCTGCGCTGGTGGAGTTCGTCCACCATAGCTACAGGTTAGTTCTGATACTGACTACCTTGACTGTACTGCAAGGAATAAGGACCATCACTAACTCATGCTTATTGCAGCTGCAGTCCGGACTGTCCCATACACAAAGGCTGCACATGTGTGCCTAAGGGCAACCGCCGCCTCCTCTATAATGATAATAACAACTACGACTACTACAACGACAACGGCAACGGCGGTAATGACGAGGAGGGTATGAAATCACGAGACAATGAAAACAAAGGGAGGATAAAAGCATAAATGGGAATGAGTTTTTGGCTGAGCTGCCTTCAAATCGCGTATACTGTATCTAGAGTCAGTCTTCCATGTAAAATTGACGCAGGCACTACTAGAGGATCTTAATTGTTATGTTCACAGTCTTTGTTGTGGCCAAGCGTCTCAAGCACAGTCAACCTATGTCAGCGAATATGGTCAATGTTAAACAGGAACAGTCCGCAGAGGAGATAGCCATCGCGGAACCTAGCATTAAACGAGAACTGTCTACTTGACTTGCTGTCCGGAGAACCGTTGATGATTTTGATATGCTGGACTTGAAGTACTGAGGCACCTCGTTTAACAGTTACGCAAGCGACAATCTTCTTTAATAAATCAATAGCATTGATATATAACTCAGTAGCATAACACTCAAACCGCGGAATAATAGCTTCCATGCAACCCAAAACTAATCGCGTGGTCGTGTTCAGCCCTGCCGACCTCGGTCAACGTCCTCGCATCAAGACAAACCAGGTAACTTGTCCCAGCCTCTCCGTTCAATACCACACTAAGTAGATATCCGGCATCCTCGGCCTCGCCAGTGCCATCGGGGATGAAGATCGGCTCGGATGGCGTATGGGGCGTTGTTTCACTGCCCCAGTACTTGACCGTTTGCGTCTCAAGATCGACCTTGCCGATTGCATCGAAGAAGGAGGTGTGTCCTCGGTTGACGACGCAATAGTGGTATCGCGCTCTTTTGGTTGCGAATCGCGGGTTGATCGTTGGGAGTTCACCGGACTCGAATTCAAAGACTCGTTCCACGGCGGCAACTGTTGTAATAGTAGACTCTGTGGGTACTCGTGGCAGGCGATAGCGGACGGTCATGGGTGTTTCTGATCTATTCAGGGTGAAATTCGAAATCTTACCGTCAGTCGAGAGGAAGTCTTGGTAGTAGGCTCGGTGCAGAACGTCCATGTTGGCGTACTGCACTACGTCACAGATGATGTCCACGGTATTCTTGTCTCCTGGTTCTTGAAAAGCATTGATCGTGTGAAAGGCAAAGAACGGCGGACTGACGAACTTGGCAACGACGCCTCGGTGGCCTTTGCGGTCGACCACGAACCAGTGCGTCTGAGCGGTAGAATCAAATTTCATTGCGTCGAGCATGTTTCGTTCCCAGAGAATGGAGGCCCCGAGGCCTTTGAAGTAGGACGGCCAGACGCAGAGGACGATGTAGTCTTTTGTCATGAAGAAGGAATGGATATAGGCTGCCTTTGTTGAGAATGCGGCAATGACCTCTGTGTTGGATGTACTGGCCGAAGTGTGGTATATGCGGATGGTGCTTCTGGGGCCTAGGTGCAGGTTGTAATTGTATACATCTCCGGTTTCTGGGTCGAACTGCGGATGTGCGCAGGAGAGTTGTCCCTTCACCACCAGTTAGTTCTGAACATGCCGCGGAAGAACCAGACATGGGAAGAGTAGTACCTTCAGATCCGGGTGAAGCTCTTGTTGCGTGCTCGCAGCAATCGGCTCGAGGGTCTCCGGATTGGCATGTGTGATTTGGTTTGCATCAGTAAGGCAGGTCAGCACCTTGAATTGCGAGGATGCCGGTACAGCAGGGCCATGTTTCAGCATGCCGGGCATGTTCGCGAACACGGTGACATTCGCATTGACCATCTGTGGATTAGAGTCGATTGCAGTCGGCTCAAAGACGCTCTTCATCTTGTGAAAGAACGACTCGCACGGGTCTCTCTTTTGGCCAAATGTAATCTCCTTGAGATCTCCGGTGCGGCGTGCTTTGTCCATCAACGCGTCGACCTGGAATCGAGAGTTATAGAACACGCGACAGTTGCCGTCGTCGGTGGGAACTATCTGGAATCGATGCAGCTGTGCGAAGCCGTCAAACCAGTGGCTGCGAGCATACGACCCTGTTTTGGAGTCGACACGGTGGGTGCCGGGTCCATTGCGGTAAAATGTGCCTGCAAGAAGTGGTGGAAAGGTTCCAGTGACTCGCAATTCGACTGGCTCACGCTGCTCTCTGTCGGTTGCCAGCTATGGGATGGTTAGAACTATGCCTTATCCAAGCTTTATGCGGTTATACCTACCAGAGCTTCAAGTGGGTGAATTTTAGAGTCGGTCGCTGTTATCGAGCCCATACTGCAGGTGAAATTCTGTTGATTTCTTTGACTATGTGAAGCTCTTCGCTCAGTACTGCAATCATTTATATTCATCAAATGAGATCAGGTGCACCCGCGGAGCGGGATTCCCCCACCACCCGTCGGACAAATACGCTGCCATAGCGCGAGGCTGAGATAACTTTGAGGTGACAGCTGCTAGGCCTGGGCAAGGATGAACAGGGTGCTTGTCCAATTACTTCCGACACTTCGGCCTTGGGATCTATCAAACCCTGCAAATCACCAGCTAAGCCGGTGCTTCCTTATTGTCGCTCGGACTTATTCTCTCAAGAGTGAGTGAGTCAATGTCCGCTTTATTCTTCTGGCTAAGCATCAGTGGATTTTCTTGTTTCGACCCTTCTTTCTTTAGGCATCCGTTGTAACCCTGGGACGAGCACACAACTGGAACACCACGAGGCATCATACCACCGAAGTGATGCTTGAATCGTCTCCACCCAATCGCCTCCAAGCTTATGCCGGCTAGAAGCAACAGTGGGGAAACGCATCACAAGCCTGCTTGGAGCGGTTGATCTATCCGAGAACGGGGACATATCTACCGTCGATTCGCAAAGGCTTAATTGGATGCGCGTTGATCAGAGTCTAGTCAGTGCAACTAAATATACAAACACTTCATATCTTAGAAAATCCACCTAGCTGGGCTATTAATCGGATTGACGTTCTCCCTGTGACCTGGGCAATCCTCCGCAGATTTCGAGTGCTGAGAAGCATCACTGGACTGCGCCTATTATCCTTTGGATCAGAGAGTAACACCTTTTGCTGCAGGAAAGTTTGTCCTGAATGCGAGGAAAAGGTCGCTCAGAGAGGCTCTTGTGTGCACAGGTCAAATGGTCACACTGTTGTGGACATTCTGGGCACATGATTACATTTCCATTATAGGAAGGGCAAAGGTCTTTGAGTAGATCAAATCGAGAGACTTGCCGACTTATTATCCCTTCTTTCTCAGAGGCGATGTCGTACAGCCGACCCGACGGCGCAGTTTTGGGGGCCAAGATCACGACTTGACTTACGAAAACTTCGAAATAACCGAGTTCAAATTGTCTTTCATCCGTTGTAAAATATAGGGGACTGCGTTCTCTCTTCTCAATCTCATCGATAAAATTGTTGTATATTAGCGTCGACTTGTGTTGACATTTCTGTGCCCTAAACGTGTGGGCTCTGCCTACAGACAATTTCGGATTGCTTCTATCATTCAGTATATGCCCCAGAGTGGCTTTAGTTGACGGATGCAAGTATGCTATTAATGGCACGCTATACAGCGGACTATTTGTACAAAAGGGACTTTTGGATTTTTTTACTGTTTACTGCATGTATTACCTATGGCCACTACCTCCACACAACATTAAAAGTTATATCAATATCGAATTCTTATATAGTAGGGATATCGAATCGAATTGAATAGTATCAATATTGAATTCTCATATAGTAAGGATATCAAATCGAATAGTATCAATGTCGAATTCTCATATACTAAGGATATCGAATCGAATAGTATCAATATCAAATCAAATAGTATCAATGTCGAGTTCTCATATAGTAAGGATATTGAATCGAATAGTATTAATATTGAATTCTCATATACTAAGGATATCAAATCGAATAGTATCAATATCGAATTCTCATATACTAAGGATATCGAATCGAATAGTATCAATATTGAATTCTTATATAGTAGGAATATTAAATGCTTATATACTAAAGTAGTGCCCCTATGTACAGAGTAGTTAGAATTTATATATTTAAGACTTAGGGTGTACCCCACCACTTATACTATATATTCAGAATATATATATATATGGTGGTATTTAATATCCTACTACTATACCTCTATAAGAATTATATATTACTACTATTCAATTCAATATCCCTACTATATGAGAATTCGATTCGATATCCCTACTATATAAGAATTTGATATTAATACTATTTGATTTAATATCCTTAGTATATGAGAATTCAACATTGATACTATTCGATTCGATATCCCTACTATACAAGAATTCGACATTGATACTATTCGATTTGATATTGATACTATTCAATTTGATATCCTTAGTATATGAGAATTCGACATTGATACTATTCGATTCGATTCAATATCCTTACTATATGAGAATTCAATATTACTATTTAATAATTACTACTTTAATATTACTGCAGTGCGTGCAACTGTAGGGAGGGTAAGTATGGTAAGATGTAATCATTGTAAAAAAACCAAAAGTCCTTTTTGTACAAATAGTCCGCCGTACGCTATAAAGGGTGCAGGCATTTACTACTGCGGATTTAAGTTTGCTGCGGGCGATGCTAAGGTTGTTGGTGGGGGCCAACAAGGCGGCGACACTATCAGCCTGGACCTTGATGCGGCTGTTATTTGGCTCAAACGAAACAGTAGCTGCCAACAACTCTATCTTTGAAGCATAGAGAGAACAGCCCTGCAGTCCGATGATCAACAGAGGGCTGTGAGCATCGCATGGATCGATCAATGATCCATATCGTGACGAACGTTGTTGGTGTTGGATACCAAGTACCAACAGATGAGCCACAGTAGAATCAGCCTTGAGTTGGTAATAACGGCTTATATGTAGAATTAAGATGTAGAATTGTATATAAAAACTGCCCTTGACATGGTATACATCAGCAATTGCGTACACGGTACACATCAAGCATTCTTCTCACCATCACGATGATTCTACTACAACTACTTCTATCTCTAACGTTGCTCTCGCGGTCCATCGCGGCAGTCATCCCGCGAAACGGCCAACGCATTCTTAATCCTACCGCCGACGATCTTAACAAGATCTTCACTTTCTCCAACGACTTCCCCCCACCGAACAGCGGCAACCTACAAGTCCACGACCCCAACATCATCGAGGAAAAGAACACCCTCCACCTATTCAAAGGAGGGATCCACATCCCCTACTGGAAGGCCTCGAGCATCTCGGGACCATGGACACAAGTCGGTACGGTATTGAGCAAAGCCAGCGTGATCAACAAAAAGAACAACAATCGGCCCTGGGCGCCAACCGTCACAAAATACAAAGGCACATTCCACTGCTTCTACGCCATCAGCCAGAGCGGCAGCCAGGATAGTGCCATCGGGTATGCGTCTACCTCCGACCTGGAAAAGGAGTGGACGGACCACGGCGCACTGATCAACACCGGTTCCGGGGAACGTTCCCAGATCGCACCGTACAAGAACACGAATGCCATTGATCCTGCGTTTCAGGTTGATGGGAAGAGCGGACAGCCGTATCTCATCTACGGGAGCTACTGGGATGATATCTATAGCCTGCCGTTGCAGGTGGACAAGGACGGCAAGCTGTCCATTAAGAATGAAAACAAACCGGACGCAACGCACCTGACCTCTATGCCTGGGAACTGGAGACCGCAAGAGGGATCGTACATGTCGTATCATGAGCCGTACTACTATCTCTGGTTTAGTCAGGGGATCTGTTGCCAGATGATCGATAAAGGGTTTCCGCTCAAGGGGGAGGAGTAAGTTCTTTTTCCATCTTTATTTACGACGGGAGTACTGACGGCCTTCAGATATCGTATCCGAGTCGGCCGGTCAAAGAGCATAACCGGTCCGTTTGTGGATAAATCAGGCAAGAAGCTTCTCGACGGGTATGGAGAGAAGATTTACGGGTCGAACAACGGGAACGTCTACGCGCCGGGTGGTGTGGGCGTGTTACCGGGCAATGGCCAGCGAGGAGATATCCTCTACCATCACTTTTGTGAGTTTCCATCTCCTGTCGAGTGATGGGCTTAGTTGCTGACTATCTATTAGTCAACGGCTCTATAGGCTTTAAAGAAAGTGTAAGTATATCATTCTTGATGCTTGGACTAGCTGACATGTTTAAAGGATACCCAACTGGGCTGGCATTATCTCGAGTACAAGGATGGATGGCCTGTCGTCAAGTGAGTCTCCTTCTTGCACTCAAAGCAGTTAGCTGACTAGATCAGGACGCAGGATCCTCCGGTTAAAGTGCCCGAGCCGATAAAATCTGTTCTCCCTTCAGGCACGTATATGGTTGATACGGGAAAGAGCTCATAGACTGCCATCTTGTTCATTGGTCTCCAGGGTGGCGTTTTCTGATCATGTTTTGGATATATGATACTCCCGATGTTATGCATATAGATTCTGTTTGTCCTCCAAATTCCAACTCTTCAATTTATATATAGCCTCGAACCGTGAAGAGCTATAGCAGAACAATTGTTCAGATAATCTTCTATACATTATTCAGCCGCGTATCATTATGTTCTTGACAACAGGATAAAGCTCTGCAACTGTTGCTATCTTCGGGGAGCAAGTGATAAGCAACCCTGTAGAGATTCAAGTTTAGCCTGCTTTCTAATGGCAATAGCACAGGCGAAAGCGATTGAAGCATAGAAATTTACAACCTCCGGGGACTCCGAGCTTGTTTCTGCTCGTTGCTGTCCTCAGAGGCTGCTTTTTGTCCTGGAACCCGTAGCAGAACTGAGGGCAGTATCATCGAGCCGGCGGAAATTAAGGCCTAGGACTAACATCAACAGGTTGATCATTATGACGGACCATAGAAACACTGCTGCATAGCGACCGTTCCTCCTTGGTTGAGCACCCCGTCCGCGATTTACAAGATGTGCTGTGCATCTCCGACCTCGTAATATGGGACACTCCGCGAATGCCGTCTCATTTGAATCTCGGCTCCAGTATACTCTAATATCAGCGTCTACGGTAGCAGCACCGCATCACCTGGCTAGGCATTCATATCATAGCTATGCTTCCCCAGAAACCTATCGTCGTGTGAGGCAGAGCGCTCGTTCACAAAACTAGCGAGCCGAGGAGATACGCGTACATGACCTCGTACGAGTGGTTGCAAGGCTAACGGGAGATGGTGTTGCTTCTGGATTGACCAGCGCCATTGTGGAAGAGGGGATGGCTCGTCGCGGAGGTAGTGTCTGGACAGCTTAATGGCTGGATAAGATGGGAGGGATAGCAGCCGGCGAGTACGGAACGGGAAGCCGAGAGAGGAAGCATCTGATATCGTGGAGGACCCTAGCTGAAGCGAAGAAAGATCAGTGGGACATACTCTGTAAGGGTAAAGGGGTTCGTGGCGTTGAACCCACCGCTTCTGCCCAAGTGCCTCAGTTATCGACAGACCGATCAGTCTCACCGGCATCCATTCTTGGGGAGACAGCACCAAAACTTCTTCCCCTCCAGATTGAACAGCATGGAGCACTCCAGAGACAGTAGCCTGATGCCCCGCATGAACCAAAACGGTCGATTTAGATATGCACGAGAGAGTTCATAGCTCCGAGGGAAGTCCATGGGAAGCACATGGCATAACACACATTGAGAATATGATAGGTAACAGCCATGTGCAAATTATCTGACACGATTCAGCCGGTGACCGACCGATCGAGATCCCGCTTACGATGCACTGCACCCAAACTTGGCGTTCAGGAGCCGAGCTGGAGCTCCCCGTCGACAATTCAAGAAAAGAGGCTGAGCCACGCTGTTCGTGCCAGAACCATTGTTGTAGACAGAGTGTATGTTAAATGAGTTCATTAAAGTGTTCGGCATCCGCAACCAAACTGGAAACGGACGGGCCGAGTTACCGGAGCTAGGACTGATTGATGCTTCCTCTCACGCTGTGCTGGGGCTTTCGCTAATTAACAGTTAGTCGGGGTCTTGTACAGGTCAGATTACAGTGCATATGCTACTGCATTGATCATTGGTCGCCGTTTGGTGCTTCGATGAGGGTGCTGGTCATGAGTTCAGAGAAATTGTCCCATTCGTTGACCTTTTAGAAGTCGGCCACACTCTCCTCTTCACTGGCAAACCCTGTTTGCTTGATGTGGCAATCGGAATCTTGGCATCTCTGTTCACCAGTCAAGGAATCGACTGTATCCTGCCACATTGACCTGAACAAGGCTTACTCGTGCATTTTCGGCGCTTAGAGGCCAATCGACCACGGCCGAATAGCACGGTGTTGGGCTCTCAACGAAGCTAGTCTGATAGTCAATGGATACATTTTTTGATCTTGGATAAGCGAGATGACCGTTAGGAAACAGGACTGAAGATTATTTGTCGGTAGTTATTGCTGCAAGATCCGTTCGTTTCCAGCTTTCTGAGACCAAATGAAGCTTAGGGAATGTAGAGCATTAATCGTATCGTATGCAGTATGTAATTGATTTGTGGAGATGACCATCTTGTGAGTTGAACCTGGTTATGCGCCACTGCTGACGGCCGCGGCTAGCTGCAAGACGTGAATCAGTCGAACGTCAGTGGTCATCTATATAACGAGACCATTCCTGATTCAGAGTGGGGAGAATATCAGACGATTATTGAATCATATGCGTGGCGGATCCAGTATCTAGAGCTTGATAATTACCAAGGTGGTCTGTTGTATGGAGTAGATTACTGGTATATTCCCTTAGGTACTGATGGGTATCTCCACTCTTACCGCAGGATAACGTCAAACTCAGACTCGGGACAGTTAAGCGTCGGGTAGAGGCAGATTCCGAGGTATCCATCATTCTCTCTGACTACTCTTAACCAAAAGCTAGTCTACCCCGTAAATCCTGAGAGTTAGATGATCCACAGCCGTCTCTGCTAAGCGAGACCTCGTGCCAAGGGGACCCGTTACTGCTAGAGTGCCTTGGCTCCGGAGCCTTACCGGTTGGGGAGCGGAGGCAACGCAGCCGACCGAATGAGGAATACAGCTGGTATGGTTGCTATTGGTGGCATATTGTGATTTACGGCCAATTCATCCTTTTTGCCTACCTTTCGAAATGAAGGAGCTGCAATCAGGGGGCCCGTGCTTCAGTCAGCGAGGGTAAAATCCTGAATCCAACTTGGATGCTTTTTCACCCAGCCGAGTGTACCTTGGAGACTTGACAGTGTATACAGGCAATGCTATGTTGGGGATGAGTCCAGTCATGCTTCGTCGTGCTTGTTTGTGGTTCCCAAGGTCCAGAATTGTGTCTCGCGTGGTTTTACAGTTCATCCCTCTCTGATTGGTGCAACCAGATCTCAGCCTCGGCTTAGTGGCAAGATATTCCTGATAAGCCAATCATATACTGTAATTTCATCGTTGTGGAATGCGACACGGAGCGGACTCCGCATCGAGCCTTGACCTATTCAGTCTAGCGGCATCCTTTCCCCTTGCAGCCCTGAATCGCAGTGGACTTCGGCTAGCCCAGACCGAATCTGAGACTTTGACACCATGAGAATCCCTAAGCTCTGCTGAAGGCGTGGCACAATTGACTTTCAATGTCATCCACTCCTTTCCACTTGTGGACTGGGGCCCTTCCCCCTTCCCCACCAGCTGAATTCCATTTCCGACGTTGGGCTCTGGAGTCTGGGGTCATCCCCAGTTTGACACGCAGGGAACCCGGGAAGGCGGGCATCTCTCCCGAACAGAAACGACTAGTCTTCAGATTTCGGGCAGTTTGACTCGCTTTCTCATAGCTTTCCAAAGTGTCTGTCCCTTGTTTTAGAGGGCAGAGCCATCGTGTGTCCCATCGCTCGTGTCAACCACAGCGTCGGTAACAAGCATCGGCCTGGTCAATGTGCGTGACCCCCCCGGTCGAAAAGGTAAAACCAGGTGGATTATAAGAACCTCATGCTGTCCCACCCATCCTAGTCAATTCGCGGATCCTTTTCCGTCTCCTCTATTGATCCCTCCATCCGAAACAGTAATCTGCTCAACTCAATTCTATTCTCAGAGGACAACCACCGACAGTATGTCGTCGACCGATGAGAAGCACGGCATCTCGGTGGAGCATGGCTCGCCCGACTCCGACACCGGGACCAAGCCTGCCGTGCCTGTTGGTCATGGCGGTGCGGCCAAGCTCGAGGGTGCGAAGACGAGGAAGGTTTACAACGTTAGTTACCGCAGAAGTTGGCCATCAACACCATCTTAACAACTGTGTTGACGAGAGAGTCGAATAGGCCGAGTTGTATGCCGCCATCAACGAAACTTCTATCCCCAGATGGAGCAAGGAGTCGATCCACTTGTACTGTGCGTGTGGAACACATTGCCGCTAATATCGATACAAGTCCTGACAACCGCTAGTCTGCATCTTCATCTCCTTCTGCTGTGCTTGTGCCAACGGTTATGATGGTGTGTGACTTGGGAACTTTCGTTATGGGCACAACCCTAATTCGAGGATAGGTTCGCTCATGGGAGCGATTCTCGCCATGAAGCACTATCAGAGTACCTTCCACACCGGTATGGACGGCCCCAAGGTCTCCCTGGTGACGTCCCTCTATACCCTGTAAGTCCTCTTACGAACACACTGTTTGAGAGGCTCCATCTCATGTATCCTATTCGCAGTGGTTCCATCGCCGCGACCCCCTTTAGTCCCATTATTTCCGACAGGCTCGGTCGTCGCAAGTGTATGTTCGTGGGTGCCTGGATCATTATCGCCGGTTCCATCATTATCGCGACTGCGAACCATCTCTCCCAGTTCTACGTCGGTCGCGTGGTTCTTGGTTTCGGTATCCAGGTCATGGTCGTGTCTGCCCCCGCTTACGCTGTTGAGATTTCTCCTCCCCACTGGCGTGGACGTGCTGTTGGTGAGTCGCTTGCAACCGCTGAAGTCTTTTTTTTAATCAATTGCTTAACCGAGTAGGTTTCTACAATTGCGGCTGGTTCGGTGGTTCCATCCCCGCTGCGGCCATTACCTACGGCTGCAACTTCATCGACAACGACTTCTCGTGGCGTATTCCCTTCATCTTGCAGTGCTTTGCCTGCGTCATTGTCATCTGCTCCATCTGGTTCATTCCCGAGTCGCCTCGTTGGCAGATAGCCCACGGCCAGGAAGAGTCGGCCATCGAGTTCCTGACCAAGTACCACGGTAATGGCAACCGCAATGCCCGCCTGGTCCTCCTGGAGGTCGAGGAGATGAGGGAGGGTATTCGTTTGGATGGTATCGACAAGAGATGGTGGGATTGTAAGTGCTTCCATTCACCAACCTCTAGTGCTGGAACTGATCGATCGGCTAGACCGCCCATTCTTCTTCACTCACAGCGGTCGCTGGCGTTTCCTCCAGGTCATGATGATCTCCGTCTTTGGTCAGTGGTCCGGTAACGGTCTGGGTTACTTCAACGCCACTATCTACAACACCCTGGGCTACACCTCCAGCTCTATGCAGCTGCTCATGAACTTGATCAACTCTATCGTTTCCACCATCGGCGCTCTGACCGCCGTCGCCCTTACCGATCGCATGCCTCGTCGAAAGGTTCTGGTCTGGGGTACTTTTGGTACGTTCCTATCTCCGCTTCAACTGCTGAATCGCCACTGACTCTTTAGCTTGTGCCATCACCATGGCCGTCAACGCCGGTGTTTCCGAGCCCCTGATCAAGCAGACCGCCACTGGCAACATCAACAAAACCTACGGCCAGACCGCCGTCGCCTTCTACTACCTCTTCAACATCGTCTTCTCCTTCACCTATACCCCCCTGCAGGGTGTCATTCCCGCCGAGGCCCTCGAAACCACCACTCGTGCCAAGGGTCTCGCCCTGTCCGGTTTTATGGTCAGCTGCATCGGTTTCGTCAGCCAGTACGCCAGCCCGATTGGTTTGCAGAATATCTCCACCCACTACTTTTGGATTTTCGTCGGCTGGGACTTGTTCGAGTCTCTCTGCTGGTATCTGTTTGGGTATGTCCTCTTTTCTGTCTCCAATGAAGCTAGTCTGACCGGAATAGTGTTGAATCGCAGGGTCGTACGCTCGAGGAACTCGAGTGGGTCTACCAGCAGCCCAAGCCCGTCAAGGCCTCTCTCCAGGTCGACAAGGTTGTTGTCCAGCCCGACGGACACGTCATCGAGAAGATCGCTGACGAGGCTTGATTGTCGCTTGGGTATATCTCTGGTAAATGAAGGTGACTGTGCCTATAGCCTATTTAATGAAACGGTCCGACTAGTTCTTGTCTGATGATTTCATGACACGGTCACTGATGGTGATGTATAATATGATTCGTGCATTCTTGAATATATACGTTTAATTTGGACGGTCTGCTGGCATTTACTCGGTGATCTATGAATTACATGATGTAGGGTCGCCAACTAGGATCGCATTGGCGTGTTCACTGAGAAGCCTGCAAGAAAGTACAAATCTACCCAACGACAGTTTAATTCACTCCTTACGTAGATAGCAAGAGTCAGTTGATGTATGGGGCGAATGCGAGATAGGTCTTGCCGTAATGCCGTCCTCTAATTCATAGTATGCGTCATGGATATTAGCAGCGCCTGCCCCGGCCTAAGGCATGTCATACTTCCCGAAAGGGAAGGCGAGCACTCCTCCGCACCAGGCAGCCAGCATTGCCCTCGATTGTCTCCTTTTCCTCATCTCCTCACATTCACAATCCCTCTCATCTTCATTCACCACAAGGACTCTGACCAAGGAAAACTTGTTTTTATTCACTGGTGTCAAATTCCATTCTCCTTTCTCACGAAGATATAAAGGGGTCTTCCCACCGAGCTTCCTGCCTGTTCCCTCCACACTCTTGGAAACCTTTCTTATCTTCTTCTCTTTTGTTTTCTAACTGTTATCCTAACATTCGCTTACCTACACTCGCTTTCTATATACAGTTTTACCGACTCAATCTTTTTTTTTCCCATTATTAAACATGCCTGCTCTCGTAGAGTACAAGTATGCTTGGATCGTCCCGGTCCTCTTCCTAGCCTGGTTCGTTTGCAAGGCTGCTGGGAGGTCTTGGACCGACTGAGAACCTTTGTCACGGGTTGGCAGTACCCTGTGCTCAAGTGGGAGCCTCCCGCGGTGGCCAGGTGAGCCATTCCTCTTAACTCTGAATGTGAAAGCATAGGCTGACGATTTTAATGGCTGCGAGTTTAGGTTCAATCGTCATGGCTTCCTGTCCTCTCTGGAATCATATGTGCATCTCCAGCCAAGCCTGAACACTCATCATTCATCACATCAAGCACGTATAACACCATCCGCACCAATGACATCCACTGAGCTGGATGCGCATGCGTCCCCAAGGGGACAACCTCCTGCTGCCGGGTCTCCTCCTGGCTTTCCCGCTGGCTCCCAGGGGCCTTCGGCCAGTCTGCCGCCTCGGGCTCCGCCCCGCCACCAGCTGATTGCTCTCCGGGCTCTGCCCCGGCCCCCTCCTCTGGCGAGCCCCCCAAACCCACTGCCACCGGGGCCGGCTAACCACCCATGGGAGAAAGATAATCTGCCCTTCGGAGGACCTAGACAGGGAGATGTGACAGTCTAGTGCAACCTAGTTGCAACTGTGTTGGCTCTGCCAACAACCCTTCTCCCGCCAATCTTCCTCCACCACCGCCACCAATGCATGTGACCAAGGCCCGGGCCGGGCCGAAAAAGGCAACGAGCCTGGCCCCTGAGAAACGAGATTCGACGGCCAGCAAGTCCAGCACAAGCAGTGGCGGTGGGTTTCAGCCCACTGTGAGGGCCTCCGCGAGGCTCTAGTCTCCCCCGGCCTATGACGCCGACCTGGGCACAGCCTAGCCGGCCGTGGTTCGGCCCCTGATGATGGTTGGGACGGCCGGAAAGGGGCGATCCTGCCCGGTCCATACGGTCAAGTCCGCTTGGAATCTGTGCAATCGCCGCTCTATCAACAGCATACTAAGCACGTCGAGCATTGATGACACTGACGCTAGAGATGCTCGACGTGCTTAGTGTGCCCAGATTCCAAGCGGACTTGACCGTATTTGCAGCTGTGATACAAACCGAACGGGACCATATCGCGAATAAAAGATTTGCAAAGTTCAAGCTGTTTTTGAAAAAGGACCAAATGTAGAAGCAGAGAGGAAGCCTCGAAAATATCAGACATGCGCTGATATTACTTGCCATCCGGCAGGGTGCGCTAGTCGCACAGACCTGTGTTGCCTCATGTACAATAGTATAATCAAGTCTTGTTTTCCCACACCTTGTTCGGCCAGGGCCTTTTCTCGCGTCCAAAGCTTGGCACAAAGAGCCGAAGATTTACCTGAGACATTCTGCGGAAGGGGAAGATTCCATTTGTTCTGCTCTGCATGTCTGCTTTCTTGAGTTATGTTTCCAGTCTCGGTTCCGGCATCTCGCGTTTCCGTCTGCTTGATTTTTAACCTCCGTGTTCACTGTTTACTCCATGCAAATTGCGTTCCCTTAATTGCTCCGAGATAGCTCTCGATAACACGACAATGTGCCATCTGGCCGTATGCCTCCCAGCCATATTTACAAAATCATAAATCATGCTGTAGCTTTTAGAGAATGCCATGATAGAATCGATTAGTTTCCTAGTTCAAAACGCCAATAAGGCTTAAGTACAAGAGTGATGGTTCACAGCCGTCGCAAGCAATTCAAGAGAGCGACCTGTCATTCGTCCCGGATGTGATCAAGAGTACCTTGAGCAGTTTACAGACGGTCCGTCCAGGTTAGATAGTATTAAATACTCTTTCTGAATAAGCTCTGGATAAGACCGCTAGTCCAATTTGAAGCGGTCATGGGGAAGCACGCGCAACTGGAAGATAGATAGTGCTAGTGACATCAGATCTCCCCATCCAGATGAACTTTGCGATAGAGGATAGTTCAGTATACAGCAGTCTGGTCGTGGGGTAGACGTCTCAGTGCGGTGTTGATAAGACCTACTGACAGGGACCAGACTCACGTCTACGAGACAACGTCCACGCATCTTCCTTTTATGTATGAGACTTTCCTTAGTTCGCACGGTCTTGTCTTTGATTTCGGTCGGAGGATCCAGACCTGACGCCGGTACACGGGGACGACCCGCAGTTCTGCTGTATACCTTAGTATAACTTCAGCCCTAATGTAGTGATATTTGTGACATCACCACCGCCAACGTCTTATACCCATGGATTTCTCACGGATTGTTTACCAAAACAGGCAACCAAGTCTTGTTACTTCCTCTTTCAATAAACATGTAGCCTTTAGAGGATTGCTTCTGCGTTGTGCATTGTAGATTGTCGTACTCGAGTCCCCTCTGTAACAACCGCATCCACCACGTTTTCCTGCCATCACATTAAGGAATTCATCATACCATACGCCTTTAGGCAACTTCTACAATTACCAATCAAATAAACGCAAAAATGGACAACGATCAAGAATTCAATGGAATTCGTTTGCAGTTCGCCCTCGACGGCACTGCCGTCGCCATTCTGTGCTTCTGTTTTCTGCTTATGGCGCTTCCGCGCTCACCAGTTGTAAGGGGGATAACGCACCACATGTATGGGTAAGTCATACTGACTACCTTGGCGATTCCAGAATAAGGACAGTTACTAACTGATACTTGTTATAGTGATACCGGCCACTGCCCTGGCTGCAGGTGTGCGTGCGTGACTGCGGGACCGACCGCCCCCTCCTCCTCCAACGGCGACGACGAAGATGAAGACAAGGAGGACGATGGCAATGACGAGGAAGGAGGGTAAAAGGACAAATGTGACTGAGGGTTTGGTCAGGTGACCTTCAAATTGGCATAGTGTATTTTGAGTCGTCCATCGAATGAAATGTTGACGCATGCTCTTCTGGCACATCGTAAGAGTCTTGTTTATTTCTGTAATGATCTGATAACGGTCCAATCAAGCGATTGCAGATACATCTGACCCGGGTAAGCCATCTTAAGTCGGGATGTCGGATTCCGAAGAGGAATGGTCTCAAGAATGAATTGCACGACTCATACTGACCTCATACCATGGACACCAAACAGCTGCCAAATCTTGTGCGAAGTTTTCCCCCGACAATCACCTCACATAGGAAAGCTTCACACAAAAAAAGATGTTTTTATTTCGCAAGAAGAAGAAGGACGGGGAGGAGGAAACGCCCAAGTGCGAACGGAAATTCAAGTCGGCCCACAAACGATGGAAGAACAACTGGTACTACGATGAGCCAAGAACGCGAGGAACGCAGAAGCGGATCAATGTCCAGAACAATCAGGTCAACCCCTTTCTAGAACTGGAGGCACGCGGTTTCGCCATACTTCAGCGGCGACATCGTTTGATGCAATTACTGGGAGACGAGGAGAATCCAGCCGTCACGGAGAAGCGTCCACCGGGTTATATCACCCAGACGCAGCGAGAGCTCTTCCAAAAGGCCGTCCAGGACCTCATGGTCGACTACTGGAAGAATGCAGCCGGATTGCGAACGATGCAGGAGTCGTGGAAACGTGAATATGAATTGGAGAAGCTGCAGCTGCTCCGTGCACACAAAGACCGCCATGGCCGGCTTTTTGCTTGGGTATGGGACCAGGAGAAATGCGCGGATCTCGGAGGCTGCTGTGGGCAGACGTGCGGCTGTTGCAAGAAGCCGCTACTGACATACCTGCGCCCTTCGGACGATGGGGAGGAAGTCCACGGTGTCTATGGACATTGTACCGAGGAGTGTGCCTGTTGTATCAGGGGCGGTCGTCGTCGACCTCCCCATCCGCGCCTTCCTCCAGCACCTGATAAGGGTATGTTTTGAGGTTATGAAGGAGCGCCTTCCTTGACCTGGCTAAGCTTGCGTTGAACAGAATATGTAGCTTCGTGTCGCTGTCGAGTTGTTGTCTTCTTCTCTTTTGTTTTCTAACTGTTATTATAACATTCGCTACCTACACTCGCTTTTTATATACAATTTTACAATCAATTTCTTATTTCCATTTTCAGCATGCCGGAACTTGTAGAGTACAGGTATGCTTGGCTCGTCCCCGTCTTCTTCCTAGCCTGGTTTGTTTGCAAGGCTGCTGGGAGGGTCTTCGACCAGGTTGCTGACGAGGTCGGCACCCGTCTGAGACCCTTAGTCAGGGATTGGCAGCCCCCGGTGTTCAATGTAGAATGAGCAGAGAGAGGTTCAGAATATGAAGATATTTCGTTAATTTGTTATGTATGTAAATCTATGTTTACTATTATATAGTGGAAGGAGCAATCTACTAGGCGAGATCATGTGATTAGATCTCCACCATACTGAGTATGGCCACACACCCCTAGATTTGATTAATGAGGTCGCAGCCACTTCCTAATTAGGCAGTTAATCCATGATTATAGTGTTATAATCTGCTATTTATAGTGCTCTGCTAGGCTAAGCCTAGTGCCTTAAAGAATTAATTAAACTTCAGATGACTAAGTAGCTTTATTATGAGATCTATAATCATCTTATCTATTAAAAGATACTGTAGGATAGAGTTGCATAACTGAACTGCAAAAATTGAATCCAACCCTCACTGAACCTGCAGTAGTGAGGGTTTGGTGCCTAGCCTAGGGAATCACTTTAGGTTTGAGTTCCCTACCCCGGGCCCAATTCAGGTTCAGTGAAAACCATTAGTTTTAATTTTTGTGGTTTTTGCGGATTAGGTGAAACCACCTAATCTAATTAAAGGTAATATAGAAGCATTACATATTAAAAAAATAGGTTAAGTTAATTAAGTACTCTAACTATAGTTAGATTTTATAAAGATAAGATAATAAAGCAGAACTCCTTAATTATATTAAAAATCTACTAACTCACCCCTCTGTAAGCTCTTTAAAATACCCTGGTTAATAATCTATATAGTAAGGGTAACTTAGTTAAGCCTAAGATACTACTTAAGAAATAATAATCTATATTATAGATAGATAATTATTATCTCTATTAGATCCCTCTTTACTAGAACCTCCTCCCTTAGACCTATTTCTTATAGACACCTCTTACTAAGATATATCTATCTTATCATCTTTATTAAAGCCACCCTAATCTTCTTTAGCCTTACTAATATACTACTTAATATCCTAATTAACCTAATTATCCTTCTCTATATTAATATCTGTCTTGCTAACCTTATTAAGTAAAAACTGGAATTCCTAATTAATTTTAAATTAATCTATATATATTAAGAGTATAATAGACTATATTATCTTAGGGTTTAGGTAGCTATATTAGTAGTAGTAGATATCCTAAGCTATACTAAATAGATTTTCTAGCCTAATACTAGTTACTAGGATAGTAAGAAAGTCTTAAGTAATTAAGATAAGTATTAGATATTAAGAGATATTCTTCTTTCACTAGTTAAGAATATTAAAGAAGTTATTATATAGAAGGTAACCTAGAATCTTACTATAGTTAGATTAATAAAAGAATAGTAAGAGAAGGGGAACTTACTTTCTCTAAGATATTTAAAAAGTTTATTACTAGTAGATACTTTATCTAGAGAAATCTAGTGTTATTTTAACTTATAAAGGGCATAATTTAAGCTAATTAATAATACTTAGATAGATAATAGAGCTTAAGCCTATAGATACTTCTTTCTATAATAGTTAAAGATCTTTCTAAGCTTAGTATAATATTCTTTAATCTAGTTATAGCTATCATCTGCCTAAGAAGCACTTTTAAAGAATAAAAGCTTTTAATATAGATTAAGAATTATACTAATAGTATAAATAAGACTATAAAAGCTATAGATCTTCTTATAGTAGTCCTTTAACTTAGTATATATAGCCTGTAGAACCTTATAGAGTTATTTTTTCTAGAGCTATCTCTTATCCTAAAGGAGTGCTATTAAATCTTTAAGATAATTAAAGAGATATTTATAGATATTAAAGACTTAATATACTATAGCTCTAGTATATTCTAAGAATGTAGTTATATAGAAGTAGAAATTATAAAGAAGCTAAAGAAGATACTTAATATATTATTATTCTTCTAGACTAAGACTAAAGGAAGAGATATTATTCTCTAGCTAAATCTTAATAAAATATTATATAGGTTTATATAATTAATTAGTATACTTTAATATTAGATATATTAAATTCTATTATATTTTGCAATCYAGAAGCAGGAGTAGTGGACTACTAGTATTTAAAGATATTTAGATTTATTAAAAGAATTCTCTTTATTTTAGGCTTATAAGAATAAAGTATATAAGCTTTTAAATCTATATACTAGTTAGTATAAATCTAACTATAGTTAGATTTAATATACCTTTTTTATTATTTAGAGGAGGCCCTTTTCCTTAATCTTATAGTCCTTATTATTCTACTCTATAGTAAGGTCATTATTCTATACCTAGATATAAAGTATATAAAGAAAAGCAGTCACTACTAATTAAATTATATAAATAAGGTAAGGTAAATAGTATTAAGATTTAAGAAGTTAGTAAAACTCTAGATTAAAGAAGAAAGTTAATATCTAATTACTCTACTTAAGTTACTCCTTTAGTATTATTATAAGCTTAGTAAATATTATTCTATTATTAYTTATATTATTAGTAGTAATCCTAAGAATCTATTAACTTAAYTTATACTTTTCTARAACTTTTATTAYTACTAAAGTAAGTYACTCCCYAGTATACTTACTAAAGACTAGTAGGAAACTAAGAAGAACCTTATAATAGTAGAATTTAGRATAGATCTAGTAGCTAGTAATTACTATAAAAGRTTTCTAGTCTAGACTTATCTAGTAATTAAGTRTAATTAATACCTTTATATCTARTARAAGAGAARTAAGTAGTTCTTAATATATACTTATAGTAAGATCTATAAGATATATCTTAACCTTATTATAGTTTAGGATTAAAAGATATAATACTAGCCTAGTAATTATATTAAGTATTTACTTAAATTATATATACTTAATAGTTTAGAAGGAAAGATAATATATAATTAAAAATTATATAACTTAATCTCTAAATCCCTATACTAAATATTACAAAGTATATATATTAACCTAGGTAAAATATAGTATAATATTAGTAGTTAATCTAACTAAGATTAGATTTATAGAAATATACTATTATCTATAATAAGTATATAGTAATAGTCTATTTACTTATAGTAGATAGACTATTACCTTTCTATAAACACTTCTAACTAATTAGGTGTAACTTCATGGTTATAGTACTAGAATAATCTAAATATAGATAATAGAGAAGTATATAATAGTATTTATAATAGACTTTAGGTTCACCTTATAATTATATAACTACTTTATTAAAATAAGTCTAGGCTAATAAATATTTCTTACCTCCCTATTTTATTCTTTTCTTCTTAATTAAGTCATCCTGTATCTTCCCCTATCTTATTTTATTCTACTATATAATAAAGATATCCTTTATATGCATAAACTCCTTAGTTAAAGTATAATCCTTAAGGGAGGGAAATTTAATAACTTAGTCCTATTTATTAGGCCTTATAAGGATCTTAAGGCCTGTAGGAATAGGTATAGGACTAGATAGAGAAGAGTTAATTAGGGGATCTACTAAAGAAAAGAAAATATCACTAGATAAAGACTGCTAGTGTAGAAGTACTAGAGATAAGGGATAATAAGAAGATAACCCTTTAGGTAGACTTATCTTAGATATAAGAAATAATATATTTAAAGTTAGGGAGTTAAGGTAATAGAGAAGTTTATAATATTATAGTAGGTTTATAACTTTATTAAAGCTAAAAAGGGCTAAAGGCATAACTAGATACCTAGAGAAGATAAGATTTAAATCTAATTATAGTTAGTTTCAGAAATAACCTAGTTTAAATCTAACTATAGTTAGATTAGGGACTTACTAAGAGGAACTCTACTATTTTACTAAACTATCTAAATACTTAAAGACTCTAAACTATTAACTTATTATTAGCCTATATATAATTAAATCCCTCTAGCTACTTATAGTTAGCCTAAAAAATATTAATCTAACTAAGGTTAGATTATGGATATACTAAGAAAAATTTTCCTATAGTAGAAACTCTACTATATCCATCAACCCTTAGCCCTCAGCAAATTCCTCTAACTATAAGTACTTAGTATTAGATAATACTAATTTATCTATACCCCCCTCTTCTTTATAAAGGTCATCTAGGCTAACTTCTATAACCTTAAATCTATACTACTTATAGATAGCCCTTATTTTATTCTATAGTAACTATATAATTATATAATTACTCTGCTCTAAGGCATCTTTAGAAGATTTAATAAGTCTAGTAATATTATAGTAATACTATTATATCTACTAGTCTAATAGGCTTAGTGCACTAGTAATTAGTTAAAGCTTAGGGACTTTAATTAGAGCTATCTAAGTATCTAAAGAAAAGTTAGTTAATATTATTCTAACTATAGTTAGATTAATAAACCTCTCTTCCTTTTCCCTATTACTAGGTAATAAAGAGTATTCTTTACTACCTTCTTAGCTACTGCCTTAATTCTTAACTAAACCTAATTAATATACTCTATATAATCTAGAGGCTATGCCTTTAGGAAACCCTTCTTTCTTTTCTTTATAGTAGTAGGAGGTATATTAAGATTAAGTAATAGAGTAATTATATCTAGCTCCTTATTCTAATTATCTAGATTAATACTATATCTATATTTCTAGAGCATAATAGCAGCTTACTTAACCAGGTCTAATACTATATTATATTCTTTCTATAATTAAGTTTACTAGTTAGTATATCTCTAACTATAGTTAGAATTAAGGTTCCTATACCTTAAATTAAAAGACTATTTCTTATCTATTTCTTTTT